CCTGCGTGGACACGGAGCAGCCCTCGCCCCCCAGCCTCGGATATGGCCCCCCCAGAAGCCCCTCAGGGCCGGCCCAGGGGCTGTACCCTGCGGTCCCAGGCACTGAGCCCCATCCCAAATGTCTCTGATCGCCATGACAACGCTGACTTCAGCCTCTGCCACCTACTCAGGCTCAGAGACACTGGGTGCTGGCTGATGGATTGGTGCGGGCACTGGTGAGTACTCCCTGGGCTCCCTTTTCCCCTTGGGATCGAGTCTTTTGGGTGGGAAAAGGGTATTTTTTTCCCCCTGCAAAGCCTCTGCTGGCAGCAGAAGGTGTCTGTGCTTAACTGCATCCGAAGGAGCCGGGCAGGTGGTGGGCAGGGTGGCTGGACAGGCAGCATCGCTCCGAGGTGCTGCTTCTGCCTGCCGGAGATGTGATGAGTGCACTGGCCTCGGCCAGGGCAGCGGGACCAGGCTTGGGCTTGCTGGGGACATATCGAGGAGCTGGGGACACGGCGAAGTGTTAGGGGCTTAGGAAGATGCCGGAACACATCAAGGTGCCGGGACACGGTGCGGTGGCCCGGGGGTCCCTGCCCGAAGCCCCGGCAGCTCGGGGGGCTGGAGTGCCCTGCCGGGGGGACCGTCCTCGGGGTGGCCGGGGCACCGTGTCCAGCCCCGCGGCGGGGCCGCCTTCCTTACAAGGAGTTTGGCCGGAGCCCGGGCGGGGGAGCCGCGCTCGCCTCCTCCCGCCTCATTCATCGCAGCCCCGGCCGTGCAGGGGCCGCTGCTCCCCCGGCCCCGCCATCGCCCCCGGCCAGCCCCGCGTCCCCTCCGGCCCTGGCTTTTGAGGTGGGAGGCTGCGTTTCTCTTCTCTTTCTGGGGTGTGAAGGGTGAGCGGAGGGCTGGGGGGTGGTCCCTGTATTTCGGTGGGGTGCTGGCCGCCAGCGTAGGATGGGGATGCCGGCCACCCTGGCTCCAGGATGCGGATGGAGAAGAGGGGATTTTCCTCCCTCGTGCTGCTGAGCCCCCTTTTGCCCAGGCTGGGGCACCCCACGAGCCAGGCAGTGAGAAGGTACCCACCTGGCACGGCAGCGGGTGCCCCATGTCCCCCCTCGCTCTCTCCCGCAGGACCGAGGATGTCCTCGATGTTCGGCAAACCCCGAGCCAGCGCCGAGCGGCCGCCCCAGAGCCCCCTCCCCGAGTGCAATGTGGCCATCCTGGGGTGCCGAGGGGCCGGCAAGTCAGGTGAGACAGCCACCCACCACCACGGGGATGGCCGGGCACGGGGGGGGGGGCTGCGGGGGTGGCAGTGCCATGGGGTGACACTTTCCTCATCTGCCTCTTTCACCTCCTGCAGCCCTGACCGTGAAGTTTCTAACCAAGAGGTTCATCAGCGAATATGATCCCAACTTGGGTAAGACTCTTTGTCGTCCCATGGAGTACCCTTCCCACCTCCCATGTTTCCCACAAATATGGCATTTAGGGAGGAAAAACCCCAACATACTCAAAATTATATGAAAAACAACAAGAAGGGCTGGATTTGACCCAAACCCACTTGTAAAAACAGAGGTGAAAGCAGCGCCCTCTCTCTCTGTGGGCACGTCCCACGGGGGAACGTTGGCTCCTCTCATTGCCCTGAAGAAACCAAAAGCTGAATTCTTGGGGCTCCTTGGGGAGCTTTTGGTGCCTCCTGCTCACCCCAGGGGTGTCAGGCAAGGGAAGGGCTGGGGGAATGAGGGGGATGCAGAGTGAGCGACCCTGGGGGCTGAGTTTTGCAGCGAGCAGTTTTGGGCATTTTTTTTTCCACTCATTTGAGTAATTAATAACTATTTTTCTGGGCCTGACTCCAGGTCACAGGGAAGAACCATAAATGATTTATCGGGGACATTAGGGAGATATGGACCTTGTCCAAGAACCAACTCCGGCCCCTAATATTTCAGTGACTCTTAGGAAAGAAGGATAAATCCTTTCCTCCTCGGATATTTTTGGGAATGTGTTTTCATCTTCCCACGTCAAAACCTTTCCGAAACACATCCATTAGGAGCTGGCCCAGAGAAAGCATCTTTCTCCCAGGGGAATGGCTCAACGGCTCTCCCTGCCTGCCCTGCTTCCAAAAGAAAGGGCCATTTCTCTCGCCTGATTTATTGGGAAACAGCCCCATGTCAAGCCCCCATCTTGCTTTATCTCTTCAGGCTGAGGCTTTTAGATAAGGGCTGAGCCCTAGGCGCCTGTTGTGCTGGGCTCCTTCTTCTCTCTCCTTCTCCTGCTGGAGCCCATGCTTGTGGCACACAGGGGGAAATGAACGCTCCTAGCGGGGCTTGCCCAGCAGCATCATCACCAGTCTCCTAAAATCACATTGTCTCAGGAAGGAGCAAAGTGGGAGGCATTAGTGGAGGATGATCCTCATCAGGGCTGAGATTGTTCCACAGCATCCCAAGCATCCAAGGCTTTGCTTGGTTTTGGAGAAGGTGGGGCATCCCAGCTCATCCTCACAACCACCCTTCTCCTTGCAGAGGACACCTACACCTCGGAGGAGCTGGTGGACCAGCAGCCTGTGCTGCTGAAGGTGATGGACACGGCTGACCAGGTGAGGCACTGGGGCATTGCTGGCATGATCCATCTGGATCACGGCTGGATCATGGCTGGACCACGGCTCAGTCGCAACTCTCACCCCCAGGATGGTCCTGGGAACTGCGAGCGCTACCTGTGCTGGGCCAGCGCCTTCCTGGTCGTCTACAGCATCGAGGACAGGAGGAGTTTTGAGGGCTGCCAGCGCTACCTCGAGGTGCTCGCCCTGCACGCGCGGGGCTGCCAGCGCCACTGCCCCGTGCTCCTGCTGGGAAACAAGCTGGACATGGACCAGTACAGGTATGGGGCTGTTCCCGATGGGACAGAGCTCATAGATCCTCTCATCCTCCAGCTGGGATGCAAAACCCAAATCTGGTTTTTTTTTTTTAAGGGTATTTCCACCCCTATTAGTATTTGCCACTTCCTCCCACATCTCCGAGGTTCCTGCTCTCCTGCCCAGGGAATGATGTGTTTATTTTGAGCCTGTTGGTATTTTTCAGTGGGATGTTTTTCGGCTGCGTGGTGAGGCAGTGTTAGCACCCCTGGCAGGGCTTGAGCCAGAGGAGCCCCTCTGGACATGCCCTTCCTTTCTCTGCAGCCCTCTAGTCCCGGACTGGATGTGCCCGATGTGTTTTTCTGGCCTTTTGTGCCGCTCTGTGGTCCCTCAGGTCCCTGAGTCAGATGTGTTGCTGAACCCCCTGTGTTCCCAGCACAGAGGTATCTCCCCATAGAGGGGTCTCCTGCCAACTTCCCAGTGCACTGCCATCACATCCACCCCCGTTTCCCTGGCACACATCCCTGGCACAGGAATCTGTGTGATTCCCCAGGGACTCACACAGCTCATTACTATGGGATTTCAGGAAAGGCAAAACTCTTTTGGACTCACATACCCTGCTTGTCTCAGAGGGTCACAAGTGAGAGCTACCCTTGTGCCCACCAGGAAGCAGGCATGGGATGCAGGGTCCACTGCCTGCACCCTTTTCAGGAGGCTGCAGTGCCCCAAGGGATCCTGCAGCCATTCCCCTCCGCTCTCGCCAGGCAGGTGCCCTCAGCCGAAGGGATGTCCCTGGCCAGCAGGTTCGGGTGCCTCTTCCACGAGGTGTCGGCGTGCCAGGACTTCACGGGGGTGCAGCACATCTTCCACGAGGCCGTGCGGGCGGTGCGGCGCCAGGCGGAGTGGAACCCGCCCGCCCGGCCACTCCTCATCACCGAGGACCGGCCCTGCCCGCCGGTGGCCACGGCCCTGGCCCTGCCCACCCACCACGGCTTGGCCACCTGCACCTTCAACACCCTCTCCACCGTCAACTACAAGGAGATCCCCTCGGTGGCCCAGGCCAAGCTGGTCACCGTCAAGTCCTCGCGGGCTCAGAGCAAGAGGAAGGCTCCCACGCTCACCTTGTTGAAAGGCTTCAAGATATTTTAGGACACGTCCCTGTGGGCTGTGGAGAGGGAGGTGAGAGACCCTCACCCATTCTCCTGGCTCTGCAAGGGCTGAGACCTTCTGTGATGGACTCACGGGCATCTCAGCAGCTGCTGGCAGGTGGTGGCCCTGGTCTCTGTGCCAGTGCAGAGCCAGCGGTGGCAACTTGGCAAGCAGGAGGGTGCCAAGAGTCCAACATGTTGCATCGCTCTGCCTGCCCCTGCCCAGCACTGCTGTGGTGTTTGTACCCTGTCCTGCCACGGGCACCGGGGCCAGCTCGGTTTCCATGAAGATCCAGCAGCTCCTGGAGGAGCTGGAGCCATGGGCACCACCGGGAGGGCAAGGGCCGTCCCCAGGGCCCCCAGCCAGCTTGGGCACCTGGCACACAGCAACAGGAGCCCAAGAGGGGACAATTAATCATTAATCCAACCTGGAGGAACCCATCTCATTCATCCCACGGGTCCCTGACTGAGCAATAAGTAGGAGGAATTTTTATTTTATTTTAAATCCAAATAAAAAAGGTGCAGATACTGTTTCAGCTGACTGAAGGCCTCAGGTGGCCCGAAACTGATTCCTACACAGCGACCTAAGTCACACCAAAACTGCTGCTTTTTAAATCAACTTTTTACACTGCAGTGTCCCTTTCCAAAGGCTTTGCAAGGAGACACTTCACTGACGAGGACATGGTCTGAAAAGCCTTTGTTTAAAAGACTGATGTGTCTCCAAAAATGTCCTAAATTATTTCATGGCTTCTACGTGTGCCCAGTGAAGGGCATGAAAGTAATCCTGGAGCACACCAGGCTCTGCCTGTGCCTGAGCCAGGGCCAAGGGCTGGGTGTTTGGTTTCAGGTGCTCTATCAGATTAAATGTTTTGCTTCTCCCTAGAGTTGCAGTTACTCTGCAGAGTAAAATATCCATGTGTATATTTGTACATATATCCATATATATATATGACCTTACTGACAGAGAGAGATTCAATATGGGATTTTGATCCACCACTTTGGAAAGTATTTTAATAAAGATGATTTCTGAAAAGAATAAAAGTGCCTCAGCTTCAGTGTGGCTGTTTTCTTGACAGGAAGTGGCTGACTGCAGGACAAGCCTCCCACCTCCTACCTCCCGCCCTGGCTTTGCTCCCAGCTGTTTGCAGCACCTGAGGGAAGGGGTGAAGCTGGTGCCAGAGGGAAGGCTGGAGGCAGCCAAAACCTGCAGGGGAACATCAGCCAGGCAAGAGCTGAGCTGGAGAGGCAGGGGTTGCCTTGAGGCCAGGGCCTCTCCTCTGGGTGCAACTCTGCTGCTTTCTTCTTTTTGTCTTTTCTTTCCCCAGGCTAAACTGCATTTTTAAACTTCCATCTCTACAAAATGAGATATTCCAATACCTTCCTCAGGGCCTACATGGTCTGACTTCAGCTGCTGCTATATGGCTTCCTCAGGCAAATCCGTGTACAGGGACGTGATGGTCCCGTCCTTCCACTGGACCACCACTTCCCTTGGTCTTTGGTCCTGGGGCACTGGCTCCTGTTTTTGTGGCTCAGCTAGACCATAATCCTGCACAGGTATCAGGGCTTTCTTGGGATCCAGCTCAGCCTGCAGCGGGGTTTGCTCTGCGTTTCCGCTCATGAAGATCTTCCTTTTCCTGCAGGGAAGGCACAACAGGGCCATGTGGAGTGAAGCAGCAAGCCCAGCCCACTTCTGGGGGCAAGTCCCCTGGTGATGGTCACAGCCTTCAATTTGCACCATGTCCCTGGAACACACCAGGGCAAACCCCACCAGCTGTACCGTGTCAGGTAAGTGCTCTGAAGTGCTGGAGCACACACAGCTGTGGGATTCCCATTTGGAGAGCACAGTGGTCCCTATGCCAGGAGCAGCACCCAGCAAGCACTAGAGGGAGAGCTTGGCAGGCTCAGAGCATTAGCTCTTCTCTCCTCTGAAGGTGACAGCTCTGACCCAGAGGTAAGTTTTCATGCTGTAACAAACAGTGAGTTGCTCTTCAGCTGCAGGGTTGTTGTGCAGCAACAGGGAAACAGCGTGGAATGCTGATGGGGAAAGGCTGGGAGTCCTGCTCCAGAGCCTCTGCACTTAGAGGAGGGCATCTCACACCACACAGTTATGGTCACTTCCCTCTCAGCAGCCCTGTTAGGCTGGGCAGAGCTGTGCAGACCCTTCACTGCTGAGGATCCAGGGTCGGGAGAAGGGAAGTGGCTTGTTCCAAGTGACACATCGGGAGAGCAGGGATCGGGCACGATTTTATAAGAAAATACCATTCAAAGGGAGTTTGTCTTTGCTTTTCTCCCTGTCAATCAGGGCTTGTCCTGTCCTGCCAAACCCCTGTGTCTGCCTGCCTGGGGGCGGGGTTCAGCACACCATCACACACCAAAAGGTCCCCAGATTTTCCCATCTCACCTGTTTCGCACAATGTTGACGGTCAGGAGAGCAAGACCCAAAATGAAGGTTCCGAGGGACAGCGCAAGGACACAGTAATTCCATGTTGAGGCTGGGGAAAGCAGAGGCAGCATTAGCAGGCACAGCAAAAAGTGACCCACAGAGCACAGCCAGGAATTTCCTGAGGACACCCAGGATGATCCATCCTTGAGTCCGCCCTTGATTTTTGTGCCTTTGATGTTGATCCTCGTGGCACTGACCTCCTCATATCAATCTGCTCCCTCCACCCTGTCAAAATCACCGGTCATCCCAGATCTTTGCTCTCTTGGCAGGCTCTGCCCGGAGAGAGGCTGAATCCCCCTCTGGGAGGAGACATTATCTCGGCAAAGCTTCCTGCCTGTCTTCACCCATGGCCTGCTTCTTCTCACCAGAGGTGAGACTGAGGCTTTGTGTGTCCGGGGTAAATCCCCTCCTCAGGTAATTCCCTCAGGCATCTGTGTTAGGCAGGAGAGTTAACAGCCAAGGGCTGTGTCTCAACCCAGGAACATCAATGGCACTTACGGTCTTCTCTGCGGAAGAACCAGAGCAGCTCCTCCAGCTGTTCCTGGTCCATGCCCAGCAGAAGGGCGGCATTGCCAGCTGTGTGCTCATGCACCTGTGGGCTGGTCAGGGCAGCTGGGAAGTACCTGTTGTGCCCCGCCTTGGCTGGGGAGGAGAGAGCAGAAAGATGCAACAGTCACTCACTGCAGCCCCTCAGACAGGAGATGATCTTCCCCTTCGCTCCCAGGGTTGCCCAGCTCGTCTCTCCAATTAGGCAGAATGCAGCCCTGAGGGCACAGCCTGACCTCATCACACACTGAGAATTGGAGAGCATTTTTGGTGCAGACCCCATTACGGTGGAGCACCAGGGTTGGAAAGACCCCAGGATGCTGACAGGGCCTGTTCACATTCCCCAGCAGTGCAGGTGTCTCTACCACTGGTCCCTGGGTGAGCAGCACTCACCGGTTTTCTCCTCGCACACGCTCCTGTCCGCAGCATCCTGCCACTGGGCCTTGAGGCCTCTCACGTCACCGAGAGCGACTCCTTTCCTGTTTGCCACCAGGTAGCTCTGGCTGGTGCCCAGAGGCGAGAGCAGAGAGTTGGAGCAGTCCCAGCTCATGTGGCCCGTGCTGGCACAGAGACTTGTCTGCACTCTGTCAGCCCCTGACACAGAGAGGCAGCTCTGCGTGCCATGATTCACCAAAGAGTCGCCTTGCCAAGACCAGTCCTGGAAATCTGACTCTGGATTACAGTTCTCCAGTAATAAATTCCTATTTATTGGACTGGCTTGTAAACACAGGTTGAATTTAGCATTTTTTATCAGAAAAGCTTCAGTGTCTGCAAAGAAAACAACATATGAGTGCGGCCAACCCCAAAGCACAGGACACACACACACAGAGTGCAAATGGGAATGACACCCAGTTCGGGAACTGGAGGCAACTTTTCCCATGGCTGAGCCAGGCTGCTGCTGGTGCATACTGAGGAAAATGGGCCCAGATAAGGAACCATATTTCCAGAAAGTTAAGGTCTTTGCACATATGACCCACTTCACCCACACCATTATCCTCTAAGCCAGGACTCTACCTTGCAGCAGGAAAAATGGTATTATCCAGAAGATCTTCATATTTGTATATGCAGCTGGAATGGATCACACCTTCACCAGTGCCTCTTCAGTGGTGCAGATGCCTGGGAAAGACAAAAAGAAACTGAGTTGAGGGATAATCTGATTCCCCTCTCTGCTCCAGCTCTGTATCCAGAGAGGGGACCCCATGCACCCCTGCAGCTGTGGCGTGTTTTCTTCTGTGAACGTGAGTCTGAGCTGCCAGGACAGGGTGCAGAAATCTGGGAGCCACTGAGGTAACAGGGAGTGGGTGTGGCACAGGGTCTGCTGCCTGGGGTTGGGCCCCTTGCTGAAGTGATCCCACGAGCTGTGAGCTCAGCTGCTGTGAGCCAGCCCCTCAACAAATTCTCTAAGCTTCCCTCCTTGCTCCCCTGACATGATCCATAGAGAACACATACTTTGGACAGTGCCTACCTGCTGCCAATCCATGGATGGCAGAATAAGGGTGTGAAGACAAGGAAGTGGAGGGCTGAGCTCCAAGACGAGGCAAGGCCAGCTTGCCATTGAGGTTAGGGTGTCTCCCATCCCTCAAGGAAGCAGAAAGCTCCTCCTTGACCTTTAGTCCCTCATTTGGCAATGGCATCAATCCAGCTTTTATGGCTGCTGGTCCAAATTATTTCTTAAGCCTCTTTTGGAGGGACCTGCCCTGAGCAGGGGTTTCTGGCTGTCCACTGTGAGTTGGTGAGATGTTTAGGTGGCTCTCCCCAGCCCACAGCTCACTGGCCTCACCTGAACCATCACCCACTGGCAGGTCAACAACACTACAACACACGTGCGTCCCTCAGGCACTCTGGCCCCACAGGCCATTAATTATTATATGAATACTTTTATGACAGTCTGATACTCTCAACTTTCACCTGCCTTTGTCGTGTGGCCTGGAGCTGTCTGAAACTGTTCCCTGGAAACTGCTCATGGCCACGTTCCACCACTCCAGGCGTGTCAACAACGCTGCTGCTGACTCCTCGGGGAAGCATTTGTCCCCTCGGTTATAGACCTAATGATTGCTACTATTTAGCCCCCATTCTCAATGTCTTCACAATTCAAAGTTCACATTTTATAGCCAACCAGGTATGCAGGCTTGCTCCCTGCTGCCAGAAAACCACCTGCTAGCAATTCTTTGAGGAGGGGACTCTCAAGTACGTACGTGGTTCACTTTGTATTTCGGAAAATGTGGGTAAACCTGCTCCCCGCAGTGAGGTGTGCCAATTACCTTCCCATCCAGGTAACCTTTAGCTTGTTCACATGGATCACCCCTCACAAAGGAGGAAATAAAGTCTTGGTGCCAATGAAAATAAGTTACAACTCAGCTACACCCTAATGAGAAGTGGCACTTGAATGTGTTAAATCTTGCTGTGCAAGGCTTCTGACTAATCATTTGCTCGAACAGAAATATTTGACAAGCGTGGTGCTGATTTTCTTCTAAGGTGTTTCATAACTTGTGGGCCACCTCCCAGTGTCCATGCACAGCAGGGATGCTGGAAAGCTGCTGGAAGTACTTCACTACTTCATAAAGTAGTGACCAACTGCCAAGTCTCCCCAGAGGTGGGAGGCCAGAACTTCTCAGGTACAACACAGCAGCAGAACGGATATTTATTCTGCATTAACAGGAAATTTAGGTAAAATACTTTAAAGGAAACTCCTGTTATTTTACCAATCTTTTACCTGTACATCACAGTAACCAAACTAGTTTCATTCATCAAAGCTCCAAAACAGTGTTCTCAGGCCAGTGTATCTACTCCAGAGGAGAGCTTGAGCACAATCCAGAACTCTGCCTGCAACACCAGTTTCCCCAGCAAGGAAACAGTGAGTCTCACAATTCTTATGAGTTTGGATCTTCCAGTATGAAAGAGAGATTTTTAAAGCCATCTCCTCCAGCCTCCCCCACACAGCTGCTCCATCCTGCTGCCCACACCCCAGTGTGGGTGAGCACTGCTCCACCAGACAAGCTGGGAGAGCGTGGGGGACGTTCTTCTCCATTGCTGCCCTGCCTGCACATCTCAGCAGTGACTCTGGCTGCTGATGGATGGGGATGAGCCCTTGGATCCAGGTCTTTGCAACTGAAAGCTGCAGACTTTGGTCTTCTATCCCTCTGGAGACATCCAAGACCCTTCCGAGGTTGCTTCCCAGCTCAGGTACAACACGGGAAGCTCAAATGAGAGAGAGCTGGTGCATTTTATGCTATATTGATATAAGTAAAGATGGGGAATAATCTTCTGGAAAGACCATCAAGCACAGCTTCTGTTAAGATGATAATGTCCCTCTGGACTCCCTGCTCAATACTCACTACACAATATGGGATGATGCATTTAGAACATATCAGTCTTTCCAAAAACAGTCTCCTCTTGTCATCCAGACTCTCTCTGGTGATTATCTTATCTTAACTGATGGCATTAAAATGCGTCAGTTATTCCAAATGCAGTATAAAAGTGGGATGTCCTGTCTTTGGGATTCTTGGAGGATATACAATGGCACATCACGGAGATGCAAATGGATGGGTTGGTTTATAGAAGTACATTAAGCACTGAGTTCCATTACAGAACACAAGAAAAAATGTTTAATATTTAAAATATTAAAGCAAGAAGGCAGTTTGTCCTCTTTGTTAACCATTGTGAAGCCAAAAGTTAAAGAGCAAATCTGAGTAATATAAATTTTCCTTTGACTGCTTCCCAGGCTTTTATATGCAGGAGTTATCCCAGCCTGCTTCTCACTTGCTATCCAGTCTCTCCTTAAACAGCCTTCACTTAAAATTTCCAAGGATTTGAGTTTTCTAGCTGGAATAAATAAACCTTTCTTTACAGATAGCTATAAATTAACCCAGCAGCTGGTGCAGCAGGAATGCCCGTTAATCTCCACTAACTCACCAGAAACAGGCAGTTCCCAGCAGGGAGGAAGCTACATTTCTTCTTTCAGCCCTGTCATCCCAAGACGTCTCCTCCGAGCTCCCATCAGTGGTAATGTCACTGTGGCAATGCAGTGACAAGGTTCCCTGTCCTCCTGCTCTGGATGTGCTACAAGCTGTGATTCATTCTGCTCCTGAGTCATGTGTGAAGGCCAGTCCAACAGGTGAGGTACATTCCAACCTCTGAAGAAAACACACCTCTTTAGTGGGACCATTTATAGTGTGAGGTGAATGACCTTTTCCCAAAGAATGAACTGTAGGAACTTCCAGTCTATTGGCACAATCAGTATTAAAAGAGCACACTGAGCAGAATGACACTCAGTAATAAGTTACCCTGGAGTTAAAGATAATGTTCACTCCGCCTGCCTCTGTCCTCATTGCATACAGGAAGCATGTCCTGATAAAGCAGATATTATCCCTTTTTTTTTTTTTTTTTAGTGAATGGTTATTCTAAGGCTCTCAGAGTATCTTAACAGAGCAATCAACTTTGCAAGCAAAGCATGAAGCACCTACCAGAGATTCTGCCATCCCTGTTTCACAGGTACTGGCAACACCTGGCTAAGTCAATAGTCTGCTAAGAGGCTCTGCAGACTGATGTGCTGCTTTTTGTGGCAGCCACGTTGGGAAAGGAGGATTCCTCCTCCCTGAACTACCTGGTTCATGGATGGAGCTGCACACTGCAAACCACACGAGATGCCTCTCAGTGATGTGCTTGGGGCACACAGCTAGCACTGGTTAGCTCCAGCTTAACTGGAGATGGGCATAGTGTCCTTATATTTGCCCTGTTCTCAGTGTTTTCCTTGAAATAAAGTGTTCAAGGATGAACACTTAGGTCAGATGGGGCTTGGAGCAACCTCGTCTAGGGGAAGGTGTCCCTGCCCTTGGCAAGGGTTTGGAATGAGATTATCTTTAAGGTCCCTTCCAAACCAAACCATTTTATGATTCTGTGATCTTTGGTATTGAAGCTTTGCTCCAGTGCAATTAATCTTTTGAATCCTATCTCACATTGGCATCAGAGCTTCCCTGGCTGCCCTTGTGAAATCTCATCCAGCAGACATGTATAGTCCCAAACAGATGTTTCACTGCTCAGCCTCAGCCTGGCAGCAATCAGATGGGAGCTCAGAAATGCATCCTCCAGGAAACAAGAGCTGCTCTTGCTGTGGGAGGCAGTTCCAGCTGGGACATCCCACCACACTGCAAATTGTGCTGTCTTTCCTCTTCATTTCAAGCAGGATCATTTAAAAAGTGCCATCAGAGTAGGGAAGGCTTTTCCAGTGCCCTTGTGATGTTTGCAGTGCCAGGGAAGGGGTACAGGAACAGGTCAGCAAGAGGTCTCACAAGCTGCACAACCAAATCCTCTGGCTTTGGGAAAGGTGCAGAGAAGACACCTGGTCCCAGAGTAATCTCAGAGTAGAAGGATAGAGATGCTACCCATGGTGAAGAGGTGACTGTAATGGGTGGATGGTGACCTCAAAGCCCCAGAAGGTTCCTTTTCATCCCAATTTTCCACATGGCTTGATTTATGTATCTATGTTTTAATGACAAAAAGATCATTTCCCCAAGTGCTGTGTGGAAGCTGGGAGTGATGGTATAATCCACATTTTCCTAACCAAAACCAGGTGGAGAAGCCTGATCAGAGGACAGAGAGTACCTGTGGCTCCTGAGACATCACAGGCACCTCTGCAGCTCCACAGTGACCACCTGGCTCCAGTCCTGCCTTGGGCTGTTTGTAGGAAAGGTGTCCAACAGCTCCTCCCATATGGGAGACCCCACATCCCTCCTGCAGCCCTTGCAAGCCCAGTGTCCCCCAGGCAGTAGTGAAGCCATGGGTGGCCTCCACTTGCATCCCTAGGGTGGAGTGGTGTGGCTCAGGGACAAGCCTCGGTGCACCAGCACAGCAGCTCCTGTTCCACCCATGATAACCCCCCCAAAATAGCGTCAGGATGCAGGTAAGTGGCTGAGCTGGACTCAGTGTGATGTACATGGAAATAAAAACAGTTTCCCACTGGTTAGAGTCGGCTCTTGTGCCCAGTAATCCTCTCCTTTTCCAGAGAACCGTGAATGGTTTCAGGAGAAACCTCTTCAGCAAGGCTGTGAGTGTTTGATTTTGTGTCTCCCCTGACAACACTGGCAATGGTTAATGGGCAATATCTTTTTACTTCTTGGAGACACTTTCATTGTCTTGGCCAGGAAGCAAAGTGCAGATAAGATGTTGATTTGTGTTCTGCTTCCTCCTCGGATTTGTCTTCGCTACTCTTGGGAAGAGCTTGTCTGACCTCGGTGTTTTAATTTTGCTTATCTTTTTTGATCCCTTCAGTGTCTTTGACCTGAAATGCCTGGTTACAGAATAACTAAACATGCAGGGTTGTTTTTTTTTTTTTCCATTCCATGTACAAAAGCAGAGTTCAAATGCAGCAGAAAAGCCAGATTTTTTTTTATTTGTGAAAAAATCAGATAATTGCTTTCATTCTGAAAAAAATTTATATCAAGATAACTCTTCAGTTAAAATACACGTACATTGTGTCCAAGGCATAATACTGAATAACAGGCATAATCTGTTTGAACTGTGCAGTAGTATCAGAGCCGAGGATGAATCACTTGGGAGAAAGTGTACTTGGGGGAATTTAAGTCCAAATCATAAACTCACTACAAATGAAACATTAATTACTTCATGTGTAAGTCTGGCAAAAATTCAGCATGGAGTTACAGTATTTCCAGGAGCCTTAACTATTGCCAGAAGTGAGAATTCATCTCCAGGGTTTAAGTCCTGGAGGAGCAGCAGGTGAAGCTTCACACATGATGCTGAGGACACTTTCAATGCCTGGATCTGATACCTGGAAATGAACACCGAGCAGCAGCTGGATTCTGGGTTCAGACTCCCAGCTTTCGGGTGGCATTTGGGCCATCCAGACACACACGTACATCCCTGGCCTTTCTGTAGTGCTGGTAATAAATCCAGGGCTTCGCCCAAGACCTCAGAGAACTGGTATTCACTGTCACCACACAGGACGTCTCCTTCCAGCCTTCCAGCCAGTGACTGTGCAGCACGCCCCTGGAAGCCATGAGTATTTTCCAGCATCTGAGGTATTATGTGGTCAAATTTTTCAGCATCTGATGTAAGGGCTGAAATTACATGCTGTGCAGAACACTGCTTCCTCTTTTTAAGGGCCTGATGCCCATAAGTGTCTGTAATCACTTGGTTATTGTGCAACAACTAATTGTCCCCTGTTTATGATAAGTCAGACCATTCACCTGCCCTTCTTCCCCATCTTCTTTCCAAGATGAACCATGCTGGGAGCTTTATTCTCTTCTCAAGCAGAAGCCATTCCTTCATCCTTGCTACCCTCTTGGTTATATTTTTTAACTATATCCTTTCATTTATGCACTGAGATGAGGCAGCTGGAACTGTGGAATTGAAGACTGTCCTGTACACAACCAAGCTGAGGATTTTTATGGGATTTCCAAAGTAATAGGAAATTATAAATTCCTTTGAGCAATTGACTTTTACATATTGATTAGGAAATTACCTCTGTATTTGGTAGCATATTCTCCTTAGGATATCCTCCATTAGGATGGCCTGGCTCATTTTTTTCCTAACATGTAACAGCCCTTTCTCATTAGTTTTCCTGTGTTTCTACCACTGAAAATGGTGGCGTCTTCAATGTTTGAGAGAAGAGAACCATAATGATGGGCATACAGACATGAAAAAGGGAATGAATATGCACAGCATTGCTTAGTGTGGCACAAAATTTCACTTTCCTTTTTGATCCTTCCCTCGTGTATCCAACATAAAATTCTACTATTCCTTTTCCAAGTAATTTACATGTTTTCAGTGGCATATAGGAAATGTTTCCAGATTCTCACACTCCCTGCTGCAGAAATTCCTAGTGGCAAAGACTGTAGGATAAACTGTGATTTAGATGCGCAAGGGAATCTGTATATGTGATTTACATTAATAGCTACACAAATAAACCATCTTCCCATGCGGGGAAAGAATGTTCTTAGCAGAATGATAAAATATTTTCATACTTATGTTATGGGAGAAGACAGTTCTTTAAGTGGCGATTCTGACCCCTTAGTTTACAAGAAAACATTCTTTGAGTTATTGTCACTGTTAAAATGAAGCTGTCCATGGAGGCAGACAATGAAATCAGCTTTTCAAACACTGTCAGAGCAGTGGCTGTGGGGTCAACATCCCTTTCTGCCCACGATGTTTTTCCACATTATCTTTGCACTGAGGCAGCACAGACAATTCATGGTCAGGGTTACAGGGCTGTGGCCGCAGTGACACTGCTTGGGAGCACCGACACTGGGGGGCTGGAGCTGTCAGAGCTGCACAGATCCTGAGGGCTGCCCTGACAGCCCCACACCCCACACCACGATCACAGAACCACAGAGATGTCAGGGTTGGAAGGGACCTCTGGAGATCATCCAGTCCAACCTCCCTGCCAAGGCAGGGTCACCCGGAGCAGGTGACACAGGAATGTGTCCAGGTGGGTTTGGGATGTCTGCAGAGAGGGAGACTCCGTGCCCTTCCTGGGCAGCCCGTTCCAGTGCTCTGCCACCCTCAACATAAAGAAGTTCTTCCTCATGTTGAGGTGGAACTTGTGTTTTTTTTATGGCCATTGCTCCTTGTCTTGTCACTGGGCACTACTGAAAGGAGCCTGAGACCAGTTGGTACCCAACTCTGAGATATTTATATGCATTAATGAGATCCATTCCAACCCCATAACATTCTATGATTCTACAATTCTACAGTATGAGGTTTGACAAGGGTAAGTGCCTGATTCTGCACCTGAGACAGGGCAATCCTGGCTGTGTGTATAGACTGGGGAATAAGAGGCTGGATAGCAGCTGTGGGAAGAGACCTGGGGGTCCTGGTCGGTGGCCAGTTGGCCATGAGTCAGCAGTGCCCTGGCAGCCAGGAGGGCCAACTGTGTCCTGGGGGGCATCAGGCACAGCATCGCTGGTGGAGTGAGGTGATGTCTCGCTCCGCTCTGTGCTGGTACGGCCTCACCTCGAGTCCTAGGGGCAGTTTTGGGCACCAGAAAATCAAAAAGACATATAAGCTATTGGAGAGCATCCAAAGGAGAGCCACAAGGATGGTAAAGGCTCTGGAGGGGAAGCCACATGAGGAGTGGCTGAGGCCATTTGGCTTGTTCAGCCTGGAGGAGACTGAGGGACCACCTCATGGGGGTCTCCAGCACCCTCACGAGGGGCAGGGCAGGGGCAGGTACCGATCTGTTCACCCTCGTGAATAGTAACAGGATCCGAGGGAATGGTATGAAGCTGAGTCAGGGGTG